GGGGGGGGGGGGGGGGGGGGGGGGGGGGGGGGAGGGGAATCGCATGTCATGACGATAAAATAATTGATTTGTGAACCGTCGGTTTCGTTCATGATTCAGTGTGTCGACAAAACAAACTTCTGTATTTTGATGGGGTCAGTATTGTACGCTCATTGTTTCAATGTTGACATTGACGCATTGTAAGCCGATGTCGTTGGCAAGGAGGGGGGAGGGGAGGGGGGGGGGTTCGACCCGGATTTTAATCAAAGGGGTGGGGGGAGCGGGGTTTGTACTACTTGTTTGGGTCGCTGTATTTTCTGTTTTAATTATTTGATTTCATGATTGTCATTGTTGCAGCGAATTTCTTTTGTTGTCTGTTCTGAAAGTTTAAATTATTGTTCAATGTTGTGGCCCTTGTCGAGGTTTCAAAGGGCTGCCATTTGATGCCCATGTGGGGAGGGGGGGGGGTCGCTGGGTGATAGGATTTGTTGGATGTTGTATGGGAGGAAGACTTAAATGGGAATAACGGGCAGGTAGGGGAAGTCTTGAGTGCACATCGGCCATTTAGGGGAGAAGAAGAATAAAATTATCTTTAACCTAGTTGTCTCCCTTGCATTTTTTTTTTTTTTTTTTTTTTTTAGGAATTTTTTTTTAAGGAATTTTTTTTTCAACTTCTATTTGTTTTTTTTTTTTTTTTTTTTTTTTTTTTTTTTTTTTTTTTTTTTAGGAATTTTTTTTTAAGGAATTTTTTTTTCAACATCTATTTGTTATTTGTTATTTTGAAATGATGGTTGCCTTTCCTTACCGCCCGCAACGAATGAGTTGAGGAGAGTTTGCATTGAAAAAAATATTATGCCTACACATTTAAACGCATTTGGCAATGGCTCAAAGAGACGCTATCGTATAATATTTTGTCTTTCTCAAGGCAACCACAGTTTATTCCCTTACAGTAAATTCCTCAACGTATACACAGACTTGTATATGCGGCCCAGTAATTTTTATCTTTAACTTCGTGGCCCACTTAATTCTTTGTCGCTTATTCTGGTCCAAGAAACATATGTTAAACAATTAAAAATAGCAGTTACTCTTTAAGAATTGTAAAAAGAACATCTGGTAACAGAAACCTGGTTAAACTTTGCATGTGACAATCATACATTTTCTCAGAGACACGTTTGTTAATCTTCGTCCCTGATTTTACACTTACCCATCGGCCAACGTTGCGGTATATTTTGCTTTCATGATCTCTTTCCTACATTTATAGCCATTTATCAGGGATGAAGCAACTCGATCTCTAACGCAGGGATTCTTAAACTTTTTACAGTGCCGCCCTTTTTGATCTAAAAAAAAAAAAAAATCAGCTTCCCCTTATCGATTTCAAAAAATATTTCCGTCCCAGAATACGAAAATGCTAGTATAATTGTAACGAAATCTGATTTTCTGAGTATTCCCGCACACCTGGTTAAGAACCTCTGATCTGTTGCCCTCACCACTTGTTAAGAACCCTTGATCTATCGCCCTCACCACTGGTTATGAGCCCCTGATCTATCACCACACCATTAGATATGAACCCCTGATCTATCGCCCTCACCACTGGTTATGAACCCCTGATCTATCACCACACCATTAGATATGAACCCCTGATCTATCGCCCTCACCACTGGATATGAACCCCTGATCTGTTGCCCTCACCACTTGTTAAGAACCCTTGATCTATTGCCCTCACCACTGGTTATGAACCCCTGATCTATCACCACACCATGAGATATGAACCCCTGATCTATCGCCCTCACCACTGGATATGAACCCCTGATCTATCGCCCTCACCACTGGTTATGAACCCCTGATCTATCACCACACCATGAGATATGAACCCCTGATCTATCGCCCTCACCACTGGATATGAACCCCTGATCTATCGCCCTCACCACTGGTTAGGAACCCCTGAGCTATCGTCTATCTTCCTGTGCAAGCCTGGACACTTAATAGAAATAAAACAGATTGGACGATGCCCAACAGAATTTATACGATATCCACATCTTTCTGTGTCATTATTACATGAACATTTTCTAGCGAGCCACTGTTAAGACAAATAGATCTGCGAAAAATGAGACAGTAAATCATGAGCCTCGCTAACCCGGTCCCAGTGCTAGTTATTGTTACTGATACTGTTACTGCTACTTAAAAAAACTAACATAGTTTTCGAGAAGTTTTTTTTTTTTTTTTTAATTTTCTACCGTGTATTTTTGCTTTTGCGCCCCACCCAAAAGCGTTGTTCCTCCACAAACCGCGTATTCCTTCTGTTTCCTGAACACGCACTAAAACATACGGTGAACGATCTTTCTCTTTCTGCGCCCCCAAACAATGGAATTCTTTCCCATTACACATCTGAAATATACTGACCATCCAAGCCTTCAAAACTGCCCTCAAGACCCATCTCTTCAGACTGTACTCATTCTCACCCCTCTCTATCTGATAAACAATGCTCGATGCTGCTGTGTGCTGTTCATGGCTATGCAGGGGTAGATTGTTCTTGAGTGGGTGAGGTCAAGCATTTTACCAACCGTTGTTTGTAAGAGTATAATTTTCAGTTTTTGCTAATTTTTTTATGTGAAGCGCAGTGAGCTTAGCCTATGCTGGGGTACTGCGCTATATAAAACCGCTTTAATAACAATAATATATTACCGGAAATTTTTTGGAGAGTAGGGATCTCATATAGCTGGAAGACTATAACTCAGTGGTTCTTAACCTGGATTCGATCGAACCCCAGGGGTTCGGCGGAGGTCCAAAAAAATAAGAAAAAAACATATATTACATTTTTCCTAATAAGAAGGGTTCGGTGAATGCGCATATGAAACTGGCTTGGGTTCAGTACCTCCAACAAGGTTAAGAACCACTGCTATAACTGTTTACAAGTTATGATAAGAATGAAAGAGGAGGTTTTTCTAGTTTCAAAAAAACAAACAATAGTAATTTTAAACATTCATGAATTATTTTTATGTTACACTATTAGTGATATTTTAATACTGTAGCATCTTGTCAACATCAGAAAATGTATTCAACAAATTATTGGCTAAGAAAAGTTGTTGGAGGTTTGTGTTGTTGTTGGTGTTTGTTTTCTTCTTCAAATAATGCTTATTCATTCGTTACTTGTATTTGCTAGGAACAATAGGAAACGGATTAAAAATAAATGTTTGTTGTGTAAAATAATTATTACACATGTAAGAAGCAACATATTTCATATGTAAGAATCAACATAATTCAAATTAACTTCATTGTCTAAAATCAAATGTCGCATTCACAAATGGAGCAGCCCGTCGTGGCGTCCTTCTTGAAGCCGTCCATACCGCAGTCCAGGTCACACGTGAAAGGGGGGCAAGGGTTGGTGATGGTAGCTAGGGTAACCACCGGTTGCACTGAAATCTCTGTCGTTGAGGGCGACGTACCCGCGCTCTTCTGCGTCGGTTCCGTGGAACTACGCCCCACCGGCGTGTACTGACAGATGAAAGAATGGAGCTCCGGGGTCGTGGAGAGGAAGACGACGCTGTGGTCACACGAGTAATCGTGCCACTTGCCCCTGGCTGTGACGTCCAAGATGACACAGTCCTCGGTGTTGTGCTGGAACACGTGCTGTATGCTGCCACTGTTGGGGCCCTCGCCGCTGGCCCAGTTGCTGTAGTTCAGGCTGGTGCCGTCCTCCCAGACGAACTTATCTTCGGCGGCGATGTCGTTGAGGCCGATCCAGACTTTGTCGTGGGTGTGGTTGTAGTAGTGGGCGAGTTGGTTGTAGAGGAAATCCTGAAGATCCGGCGTTTTGACCAGGGCCAGAGTGCCACCGTGTTTTTCGCATGTGGCTCTGGCGTCTTTGTGGGGTATTTTCGTGAAGTTGAAGCTGAAGCAAAAACCGGAATGAATTATGAGGGTGTTATCTCTAGGTACACCGGCTGGGCAGTCATCTTTTGTTTGAGAGGCCCCTTTTTTTTTGAAAAATAGAATTTTAAATTTAAAGGAAAGAATCGGATAGTTCAGTAAATAAATTTTTACTTAGCTTGAAATAATCTTGTCAACATGGAAAGTGTCCTGAAATACTCTGATAAACTACAACCACAGCCAGCTCCCAAAACTAACTTATAGTATAGGCTACTCACCATAACCTATCAATAACATAAACACGGCTACAACGTGAAACATCTTGAGATTTTAGCTGTCCTATCAATTCCACTAATCAAACTGTACGTTAGCTATCAAATTGGATTTCGGCTGTGTTGTGTACCATGACAACACGCCTTGACGTCATTAAACTCGAAATGGAGTTGCCCTGGGAACACGCCATTTGGTCAATAGCCCTGATCCAAATAGGGCGTGTGTTCGTTTAATTTGACCTTACTGAAGGTCGAGGTTGACGGAAGGAATCAACGGTGGTAACTCTAATCAAGTTAATAGATACATTGTCATGGATTTAGATCTTTTTAAAGTTGAAAATGAAGACGTGTTTACTTAATAATCCCACAAAATAAACTCACAATAAGGGGGTGTATTCTAGTGCAAAGCTCAATCATTGGGTTTTTTTAAGACATTTGATCGAGGGGGCGCGGGGGGGGGCAGAGGCGTAGCGAGGGTGTTTGGGCCCGGGGACAATATTCGCGCCCAGGGACAAGATCCATTTTAAAGCGCCCCCTTTTCTTTTTTTTCAACTCTCAAACCTGTATGCATGTTTTGGTCAAACTTTCAGCCCACCCCCCCCCTCCGCCCAACCCCCCATTGCTCGATATTTCATTTTAGAAAGGATTTTATAAGAACATCTGTATTTTTGGGTTTGTTTCTTTCCTTCCAATCCTTTGATTTTACTTTTTTTTAAAATGGCGATTTTAAAAAGATTAACTTTTTCAAAAACGATTACACAATTTATTTATTTTTTAAATTATGATTTAATAATTGAAATATTAGTTTACACAGATAAATCAGATTCCTATTTGATATCATCTAATAAAATGATCAATAAATTGATCGTGGGCCCTTAAGATATAGAAGAAGAAGATCTCTCAATTTCTGGCAAACTAGTGGAGCAGATTTTTGATAGTTTTGATATTAAAACAGGGAGAGTTTTGTAGAAACGGCTCCCAAAAGTTATAACAAATTAAGGAAGTGATCGCTGAAGTGTACACTGTTGGCCAACCTCTGATAAGAGCGTGTATCAATTTTGTTTTTCCTTTTCCTCTAAATCAACATTCAGAGACTCGACTACATCTGAAAATGATCCCACTAACTATGTTTTGAAGGCCTGGTGATACTACACGGCACTAACTTATGCGTTAATTGCTTTATGGTGAAAAAGAATTTGAAAAAATGTTGGTAATGTTTGATACTTAGCAGGAACTATTAAAACATTTTATATTTACAGACATATGTATCGATGGAAAGGTCGTTTAATGACGTATAGTTCCAAAATATAGGCCTCCCTTTCATGGGCGCCCTCAGGTAGGGGCAAGGTGGGGCACTTGCCCCCCCCCCCCGGTTTGATTGAATAAAAAAAATTTAGACAAAAAAATATTTAAAAAAAAAAATTAAAGTAAAGAGAAAATAAAGAGAATGTAACTAAGCTGACGTCCTGTCCGTTCGTTCACCATACAAATACGCTATAGTAAATTAAAACTACANTAAAACATTACTAAAACAAATTTGACCTCCCCTGGAATGTTAATCAATTTTTTTGCCCCCCCCCCCTAGAAAGTTTTCTGCGGGCGCCCATGCTCACTTTTTACCATAATACATCCCCTATGTTATACTCTAAAAATTATTGTTTCGATTGGCCGATACATTTTTTTTTAAATAATTAAATGCGAAAAACTGGATTTAAGGGACCTATTTTTGGAATAATACGGTATTTAGAATCCAACCGGTACATATGGATTTGGCATAAATGTTCAAACGTATCGAACGTAGCGATATTTCATCGGTTCCACTATTTGACTAGTTTTAACCTGTAAACGACACCATTGATTATTGTATGCTACTCTTCTGAAAAATGGTTTAAGGATGCCGCTTAAGATGTTTGGGTTTTTGTTTCATGCCATGTTCACGCCTATGGTGTACAGAGTTGTCTCCGGAGTGGGGGTGGGTTGTTTAAGACTTCTTCGTGTGGGGAAAAAAAAAGTGTGGGGGGGGGGGAGGTCAGATGCCTGAAAGAACACTGTCTGAGCCCACCCAGACCCCACCCAGGCCTAGTTAGTTTATACATTTCTGAAGGAAAAGATGCACTTACGTGCCTCAAGTTTCGGACCTAGTTTCGGAAGAAACTTAAAACATTTTCAGTCTTATCGTTTTTTTTTGTTTGCTTTTTTTTTCGTTTCCTTTTTTTTTTTAATTTTTTAAATGTTTTTGTACTTTAAGATTGAGAAATGGTCTTACAAAAGTATTACTCATTTACCTTTAGCCGCAGTTTCGCATGCAGATGTTAGCAGGCCGCCATATTACTAGACATTTCTGAAGGAAAAGATGCACTTACGTGCCTCAAGTTTCGGTCCTTGTTTCGGAAGAAACTTAAAGCATTTTCAGTCTTATCGTTTTTTTTTGTTTGCTTTTTTTTTCGTTTCCTTTTTTTTTTTAATATGTTAAATGTTTGTGTACTTTAAGATTGAGAAATGGTCTTACAAAAGTATTACTCATTTACCTTTAGCCGCAGTTTCGCATGCAGATGTGAGCAGGCCGCCATATTACTACAATTACAACATGGTATAAAATACCACAGAGGCTGACAAGTATTAAGCCAATAAAACGGCGTGACTATAAATGCCAGGAGTTTTTGTTTGTTTGTTTTTCAAGTAGAAATGAAATTGTTTGGATTGGATATTTATTTAGCGCTGGTATCCATGCTACTTTAGCATGCTCACTGCGCTCTGATTTTCTTAAATCTATTTAGACAAAAAAGTTTTTAAATGTTTCTTAAATGATTTTTTTATCATTTTCTATCCCCATCAAAGATTGAGTCAAACTGTTCCATAATTTTGGCACTATCGCTTCAAAAGAGCGCACTCCGTAAGACTTTTGTCTGTGTTCATCCACTCTAGGAACTCTCAGTAAGTACTGTGATGAAGACCGCAGGCTCTTAAAGGATGCATGTTTATAAATCAGTTCTTTAAGATATTGTATTTATAATTGTAACGTATATTTGAAAGGAGAAGGCTTAAAGAGTAGCGAATTTTAAGTAAGTTTACATCGCTCGTATGATAGTCAGTTTAGTCAGTGTGTGGTCAAAAAATAAAACAACTTTATCCATAACAAATCTTGTGTTTTCTTTTTATTTATATTAATGACATCACCATTTACAAACCACACTGTTCTATTTTAATTGGAGCATGAAAAAATCCATTTAACAATTTCTCATAGGTATTTAAACAAAATATTTTTAAAAACTTTGTATAGTAATAAACTGATTATAGAGTTAAATTGAATTGTGTGGGTAATTAATGGCAGATCCAGAATAATATAAGTCAGTCACAGACTTAGAGAAACCTAAAGTTTTAAGAAACGTATGTGTCTAATAACTTCTCTACATTCATATAATTTTTGTCTTTGCATATTTTATGTCTTGGCTGTCCCCCACAGCTCAGTAACTCGGTAGATATTGTCGAATGAGACTTTTCTGGGGAACGTTGGAGATTCAGGGCAGCTTAAGTGTGTGTGTGTGAGGCGAGAGGTTTTCTTTGAACTAATACAGTTTGAAATATAGCTGCGCATTTAGTTTGTGTGGCTGTATCATAATATATAGCCGCACACGAGCATTTCAATAGCAAATGGATGTAAATGTTTGTTTAACAAATAGTTGAACTCATTAAAAGTTACAATCCATTTGAAAAAAACAAATTCAAGAAAAAAAATATGCCTTTGCGTTCCTAAATGTGTCAAACTGCATAAAAAGAAGGGAAACAAATGTATATATTTATTTATTCAAATTCATATATTTATATGCATGTAACACAATATTAAATACATGAATACGAACTAGTGATATTTAATTAATAAATTGTGTGAGAAATTTCAAAGAGATGAATACAAAATTTCAAAATGGCTTTATAAGCTCCCTTTAGTTGATTTTATATTGGCAAACAAACGCATGTCTCTCTTCTGCTGTAAATAAGAACAGGGGGTTGGCGTCGCAAGGAAAGTCCCGCCATTTGCCTTGAGCCGAGACGTCGATCAGGACACAGTCCTCGTTGGGGTGTGCAGAATGCGCTCCCTGCGTTGTGTTGGCGATGCCTTCCCCGGGAGCGAAGTTCTGATACGCCAGGCTGGTGCCATCCTCCCACACAAACTTGTCTTCAACTGCCACGTCGTCCAGTCCGATCCAAGCCTTACCCAGTGGGCTTTTGTAGGTGTGGAGGAGCTGGTCGTAGAGGTAGTCCTGGAGCTCCTGGGATTTGACCAAAGCTAACGTCCCCTTGTTGGTGGCGCACTCGGCCTTGGCCTCCGTGTGAGTTCTCAGGCGGTAGATGGAGAACATGAAGCAAGAATCGCCGTGCACCTGAAGGTACTGGTCACGTGTTATGGCTGACGGGCATTTCTCGAGCTGACAAGAACCTATGGGAGATAATAACCATTTTGAAAAGAATGCAGTGACGAACACACTTGGTGTGGTTAGCAAACATAGAGAAGAAAAAAATGTTCAGGGCAACGAAATAAAATGTTGATTTTTGAAATGTGACATGTTTCTCACAAAAACAAAGCAACCTAAAAATGAACTGAATTTTTTTTTAGTTTTGACGAAGGAAAAAAACACAAACTGCAGGTAATAACGAAATAAATAATTTCCAATTAATATGTTCTTCAACTGGAAATGTTTGGTCCAAATACGCTAATGGGATTTTTTTTTTATAATTCAAAACATTTAAATATTTATTTATTTTTTTTTAAATTTAAATACAACGAAAAGTTAATAATACGATTTAGAAATGTAATGTCAACAACAACAAAGTATATGGGAAAAACGTGCTTGAAACGGAAATTGTTTAAATGTCTATCACATGGCATATGCGTATTTTTATTTAAAACAACATCGCTAGTATTGGATTGTACAAGAATCGAACAGTGCGTGATTGACGTATTTGTTTTGTTTTTGGTTTTTTTTTAATAAAAGAGAAATCACTTTATATACATAAATGATTTTATTGCCCCCCCCCCCCCCCCCCCCACACCCCCCATTTTTTCTGTTTTTTTTTTTTTTTTTTGTTTTGTTTTTTTTTGTTTTTTTTTTTTTTTTAGTATTTTTTTTTTTTTTTTTTAAATCAACTGGCCACCCAATACTAACGTATTATTATTTTATGATTATTTACATTAAAAATAATAAGATTAAATAATTTTAAACACATTTAGTTATTGCATGACGTTAATCCTTTTAAATGAAATGTTTTAAAATATTTTTGACTTATATCGATGGGTTTTATTAACAAAGAATTGAAAGGCTAAAAAATAAGGATGTATTACATAGTTGTCTCTTTTTATCTAACTTTTTAGAATTCATGGAAAATAAAACAGTTTACGAAAATAAAATCATTCCACAAACAAATAGCGCGTGCCATTCTTTCGACACTTTGCTTCACCGATCCAACACTGTAGCTAGTTCAGAAAGGTACAAAACCTCTTATTATTAAATTAACTTACATAGGGTGAGCAACGAAGCTGCCACTACAACGATGGAAAGCATCTTTCTTTGTGCGAAATGATTCGATGGAACCGCAAAACAAAGACAAGGCTGTTCCTTTATATTTATGAAGCTGGGCTACCTTGCTGAGTGTGACGACTGTTCAGTTTCCATTAGACCAGCTCTCCTTTTAACGATTAATTTATTTGCTTCGATGTGAGGCGTAGTAAGTCAGTAAGTAGAACGGTGGACCTTCTGCCCTGTGGAAGTATACGACTGCAGCTTATCACGAAAGTATTTTTAGAATCAAGAATTAACAAACTTAAAAGAGGGAGTGGGGGTGATTCACAGACAATGAGGGTAGAGATATTTTGACGATAAGAGAGAAAGATAGAGAGAGTGAGAGAGAGAGAGAGAGAGTGAGAGAGAGAGAGAGAGAGAGAGTGAGAGAGAGAGAGAGAGAAACTGGAGAGTAGAAAGAGTAGGACGGTAGCAAATAAGAGGAGTGCGGGATATAAAGAACGGTTATAGACAGAGTGGGGGCTCGAAGCCTAAAAAATATTGTGAGAGATAACGGTATAAAAACCAATTCAAACTATTTAAGGCTTTAATTTGCATAACTTAAACTATTTTAAAATCAACCAAATATGATGCTAGGAGTTTTTGAACAAAAAAAACCAACAACTTCTAGCCAGGTTTAACCTACCTAACGAAATGCTTAAAAAATCTTCATGTAGGTCGGTCATTGACTTCGCGATGCACATTATTTGACAAGTTTGGTGTTAACACCCAAAACATGACATAAATGTACATGTGCGCTGTTGCCATTTTGATGGTCTTGCAGTCACTTTGCGTTGGCAAAATGTTCACACTATTCCCTCCGTTCATTTAAAATCCCTTCAGTCTCGTAGCAAATCGTCTAGTTCATTCACAATGATTTAAGTATCGTAGCAAAGGTCTAGCAAATCTTCTGGTTCATTCACGAGCCTCTCAATCTCGTAGCAAATCGTCTAGTTCATTCACAATGATTTAAGTCTCGTAGCAAAGGTCTAGCAAATCTTCTGGTTCATTCACCAGCCTCTCAATCTCGTAGCAAATCGTCTAGTTCATTCACAATGATTTAAGTCTCGTAGCAAAGGTCTAGCAAATCTTCTGGTTCATTCACGAGCCTCTCAGTCTCGTAGCAAAATCCTCTCTTTTTTTAAGAGGGATGGGATCATAGCCGTTTTTAGCCTCGTGTTTGTTGACCACGAGCCGGGGGCGTGCAGCCCTTACCTCCCCCCTTTTGACTTGTTACTGACTTGTGCTGCCCATCCCATGTCAACCACCACCCTTGATTGGGAAAGTTTGTTTACGTTTCCAGAAAGATCTACATAGAGGTAGAAAAAAAATTCTCTGGCGATATAATTTCTAGAATTTCTATTCTGAAGGGTTCTGACCCCCTCACTATTAATACGACAGTTGACTGTGACCGGCAGACAGAAATTTACTAGACTCAACAGACTTACAGGAGCCTTACAAGATTTAATACATTTTTCACTGTATTCGGGGAATTATACTTGTACCTTTCATGTATTATACTTTTCACTTGCAATGCTGAGAGTTAATATAATTTTTATTTATGTACATTTAATTTCTACTTTAAAATCTGCTAAATTAATAGTAAAATTAAATTGATTTTTGTTAATATCACTAGCTTTTGGGAGGGGGGGGGGGTTACTGTTTTTCAGGCCTTGGTCACTTATTGTTCATATACCGAGCCCAATCTTAAAACATATTAACAATTGTAAAACCATATAACGCTACGTAACAATGATGATATAAATATGTATTAAAATAGTATGCGTACTTCTTGTATCAGTAAATGAAAAACTGCTACTACCAACCAGTGACCAGCAACACTAACGCATATAGCGGAGCTCAGCTCTACGTTTGATGTTATGTTTATGGGTTAGTGTAGTGGCTCTCAAACTGTTGGTCACAACCCCCCTAGGGTCGCCTGAAAAAATGTCATGGTCACTAAAAAGATGTTAGAACTTTGAGGGTGGTTTAGGAGGTGGGTACGGGGTAAAATCTGCATTTTTTTCATTTGGATTTTCATTTATAACTTTGAATATTATTTGCAGTGATCGGACTAGTTTCTTATTGTTACTGCACTCTAGGCCTAGTTTCTTATTGTTACTGCACTCTAGGCCTAGTTTCTTATTGTTACTGCACTCTAGGCCTAGTTTCTTATTGCTACTGCACTCTAGGCCTAGTTTCTTATTGTTACTGCACTCTAGGCCTAGTTTCTTATTGTTACTGCACTCTAGGCCTAGTTTCTTATTGTTACTGCTCTCTAGGCCTAGTTTCTTATTGTTACTGCACTCTAGGCCTAGTTTCTTATTGTTACTGCACTCTAGGCCTAGTTTCTTATTGTTACTGCACTCTCGGCCTAGTTTCTTATTGTTACAGCACTCTAGGCCTAGTTTCTTATTGTTACTGCACTCTGGGCCTAGTTTCTTATTGTTACTGCACTCTATGCCTAGTTTCTTATTGTTGCTGCACTCTAGGCCTAGTTTCTTATTGTTACTGCACTCTGGGCCTAGTTTCTTATTGTTACTGCACTCTATGACTGGTTTCTTATTCTACTACACTCTAGGACTAGTTTCTTATTGTTTCTGCACTCTAGGACTACTTTAGTTTCTTTTTGTTACTACACTCTGGGACTAGTTTCTTATTGCTACTACACTCTAGGACTGGTTTCTTATTGTTACTAAACTCTAGGACTAGTTTCTTATTGTAACTACACTCTGATTATGCTGCAACTACATATTTTATTTTAAATATGATGTAGATATCGTCGCCTGATTTAATATCAATATTTTGGCAGTTTCGTTTCATTTTTTCATTACTTTATATATTATTTTAATTTTTGCTGTCACTATTTTTTTCTTCTCTTTGTTTCATCTTTTTCTCTAAACTTAAAATTTGGCACCATCCACTCAAAAGTTGGCACCATACACTCACAAGCTGGCACCATACACTCAAATTTGGCACCATCCACTCAAAAGTTGGCACCATTCACTCAAAATTATGACCAGGTGCGTAAATATTTCAAAACTTTTCTGGGTATCGACTTACAGACCCCCCTCTTCAGAACCCCTCTACCCTTCTTGGCCCTTATTTCTGCTTCCCTCCACATTACACTACCAGCACCTTTATGCTCTGCCCCCACCCCCTTTTTTTTCCTCTGCACATGTTTCTCAATGTCTCAATTTCAAATATTATTCAGGTTGCTGGTCGCCACAATTTGGCACATGTCTTAAATAAGTCAAGGAACTCAAAAGGCCGTGAACGGCCTGGTTAGGTTTAGATCAGTGCTTTGAATCATTCAACTTTGATGCCTTGTGATCCACTTCTCATGTCCTCCCTGTGACGTGGAACACCTTTAGAGAAAAGGAAAAGATAACTCTTTTTGTTTTCGTCTCGAAATACCCGGAGCCGGCACGGGTGGAAAAATATATTGTCCTTCAGCTCAGCCATAGTCTGAGTCCAGTTTTTTAATTTATGTACATTACAAGATACAATATAAAATATAGGGACAGATTTTATTTAATGACATGTTTCGTTAAAGATTAGATGCTAGTGCAGCAATACAGCATGTGTTTTTTGTTGTTTTTTTTGCAGTTATGTGCAGTTTTCGTTGTTTCTTCTTTTTTTTTTTTTTCAACATTTTTTTCTTTCTTTTTTTTTTTTTGTGGAAGAGGGGCCTGTTTTTTTTTATTTGTAATTAATACCATAATTTACTGGAATTGTGTCTATGTGTGTATGTATGTGGGGGATGTGGTTTATGTTTTTTTTTTTTTTTTTTTTTTTTTTTTTTATTTTTTCTTTTTTTTTTTTTTTTTTTTTTTTCAACCTTTTTTTCTTTCTTTTTTTTTTTTTGTGGAAGAGGGGCCTGTTATTTTTTATTTGTAATTAATACCATAATTTACTGGAATTGTGTCTATGTGTGTATGTATGTGGGGGATGTGGTTTGCGGTAAATGTACCTGGGAAAATATAGATAATTTTCGCTATAATATGAAAAACAATTTTTAGAATATATAATACTTTTGTTTGATTTTATTCTTCACCTTAACTCCCCAATGAGTAGTGTGTAAGCCGGTGCATGATAAAGAGTCTTATGACGGAAGTACATGAGACAAGCCAATATTTAATATGGATAAAATTGCTACGCATTTATTAATGTGTTTTAAGATATTTTTATCAATGCGACTCCATGTGATACAATGGCATTCAATAGCATGAACCAGTGCAACACAAGCTGACCCATCATCTTGAGTGGCAAAGATAACCATCTGTCTAAGCTGTTCTACGTTACAAAGATGATAGTAGTTGCCGGTGCTTGAGTGATGCCGGCAGGCGCGTACTGGCAGATGTAAGAATGAGCCTCCACGGTGGTGACGAACAGGAATGAGGACCTGTCGCACGGGTAGTCGTGCCACCGGCCGTGGTCGCTGGCGTCGATCAGGACACAGTCTTCGTTGGGATGCGTCACGTGACCCGCGAGGCTGGTGTTCTGGCTGCCTTGACCGGGGGCGAAGTTCTCGTAGCTGAAGGCCGAGCCGTCCTCCCAGACGAAGGCGTCCTCGGTGGCGATGTCGTCGAGGCCGATCCAGAACTTGCCGTATGCGCTCTTGTAGGTGTGGAGCACCTGGTCGTAGATGTAGTCCTGGATGGCTTTGGAAGAGACGATGGCCAGGGTGCCGCCGTTGGCCTCGCACGCCTTCTTGGCGTCCGTGTGGGTTTTGTGGGGGGTCAGGACGAACTGGTAGCACAGACCGCCATGGACCTGGAGATGAGTGTCTTTAGGGATAGCCGCTGGGCAGTCGTTCACACTCTGGGATGATCCTGTGTGGAACAAAGTATAGAAAATATTAAGTAATTAGTGTATTAGAATTACTAATAAGGTGGCGTCTTAGGGGCGCCTTCAATACGGCTTGCTATTGTGCAAATGCAATTGAAATAACTAACATGGGGAAACAATTATGCATTTTAACATGTTTCTCTTTTTTTTCCCAAAATTCTTTGGTTTTATTGTAGCTAAAAGTATTTCTATTTCAATAAATGTAGGCAATGCCATTAAGACGATTTGCATTTCAAAGATTCGATAATCACAGAACTCACAACGTCACAATGTTAAGTGGTGACATCAGTAACATTATTAAGTTAGTTTTCATACCATTATTTTTGTGTGGAAAATATCACAAGCCACCACTAATAATTGACGATTTTAAGAAATCAAAATTTTTCTCTACTATATTTAAAATGTTATATTGTATAATAGTAAAATGGAATTTGAATTGAAAAGGAACTTTTCAGTGAGATTTCATTTTTAATCGTAAATAAAATTGATACTTTAGAAAATCAAAGTATTTGGTGCTGCTATGAGAAGATGTTACTGGCAATGTGAAGATGTTACTGGATATGTGAAGATGTTACTGGCGATGTGAAGATGTTACTGGATATGTGAAGATGCTACTGGCAATGTGAAGATGTTACTGGCTATGTGAAGATGTTACTGGATATGTGAAGATGTTACTGGATATGTGAAGATGTTACTGGCTATGTGAAGATGTTACTGGCTATGTGAAGATGTTACTGGCAATGTGAAGATGTTACTGGCTATGAGAAGATTCACTGGCAATGTGAAGATGTTACTGGCAATGTGAAGAAGTTACTGGATATGTGAAGATGTTACTGCAATATGTGAAGATGTTATTGGTTATGTGAAGATGTTACTGGCTACTGGCTATGTAAATATGTTACTGGCTATATGAAGACGTTACTGGGTATGTGAAGAAGTTACTGGATATGTGAAGATGGTACTTGATATGTGAAGATGTTATTGGTTATGTGAAGATGTTACTGGTGACTGGCTAGGTAAAGATGCTACTGGCTATGTGAAGATGTTCCTAGCAATGTGAATATGTTACTGGCAATGTGAAGATGTAACTGGCAATGTGAAGAAGTTACAGGCTATGTGAAGATGTTACTGGCTATGTGAAGATGTTACTGACTATGTGAAGATGGTACTGGCTATGTGAAGATGTTACTGGCAATGTGAAGATGTTACTTTCAATGTGAAGAAGTTACTGGATATGTGAAGATGTTATTGGTTTATGTGAAGATGTTGCTGGCGACTGGCTATGTAAAGATTTACTGACTACTGGCTATGTGAACATGCTACAGGCTATGTGAAGATGTTTTTTGGCTGTGTCAGGGGTCTTAAACTCGCGGCCCACAAGACGATATTTTGCGGCCCGATACAGGACAGCAAAGTTTAGTGTAATGCGGCCCGCGAGCTTTCCCCACTCTCATATCTATAATGTGACTTTCCGCGATGGTTTCAGTCGAGTCTCACCGACTTTTCTCATTCTTTTTTGATCGTGTACCTGTAGGTTTGGAGGTTTGGAGGTTTGGAGGTTTGGAGGTTTGGAGGTTGATTCTAATGGTAAGAGCCGTTCTGAAATCGGACTAAACTTATTTTATTTTATAGCATTTTATGAGACGGACATGGCAGTAAAAGTGCGGTTCTGAGAAAATATGCTTCGAAAATATCATATACATATATCAAAGGTTTAAAAAGACAGTTAGTGGGTAATACACAAACATAATTGTCTATATCGTAACAAGGAGTAAGAGGGAGAAAGTGTAGCCTAATATTTGAGAACCCTTAATGTTTTTATTTGTCACCATAATGGTTGCTCCGTTGGTAACAGTTGTACTTTATTGAATTTAATCATCACTTTCTTTTTGTGGCATAATTGATGGGGCCCAGTCTCACTCAGACTCTACCTTCTTGTGGCCCAGTCTCACTCAGACTCTACCTTCTTGCGGCCCCCGGATAATTTGCGTTTTGAGACCCCTGGGCTATGTGAAGAAGCAACTAGCTATGTGAAGAAGCAACTGGCTATGTGAAGATGCCATTGGCTATGTGAAGAAGCTACTGGCTATGTGAAGAAGCTACTGGCTATGTGAAAATGTGATTTCTTTTCAATCAAATACACTCAATACCACAAAAAAGCATTATTTAATTGAATTTTTAAAAGCAGCAATCCATTATCTTCAATTTAATTGTTCTACATTCTAAACCTGTCTTCTGAATGTCTTAAAAACGCAGACAAAAGACAAATCAATGCTTAAATATAATATGCCATTAATGAAAAATCAAAAAATAGAATTTATTGTTCAAAAAATTAATTTCGTTTTGAAGCAAACATCTCACCTAGAGTTAAAACAACTGCCCATATTAAAATTGTTAAAAACATTTGCCTAGACTCTTAAGTGGGCAACTAAACAATTTTATTATCCTCGAAATCACAGAGAATTGCTCCAAATGATCTTTTTTAATAGTATGCATTGTCGGCAAAAATAGGAATTAAAAATTATAGTCTCAATAAATACAAACCTTGGTACTTTTAATTCCTATCAGCACATGGAAAATAAAAGCGATTTAAAAAAAATGTCGGCACTTGGACTGGTTTACCTGGCAATCGGTCTCGTTTGCTTTGATAGTGTTTTATTTGTTTGATTATTTATTTTTTTGATATTCCATTCGGCTTGGTTAAAGATAAGAATTTATTGAAGTATTTGTTTGTTTTTTTGTACTTATAAACTAGATAATTTTATAGAACTTATGGAGTCACACGCCACGAACTGTGATTGAGATAAGGGGCCCATCATAATGCCTCTGGATGTCTGCTGACTTTTGGACAGAAATGTGGGAGAAGGGGGTGGAGCTGAGGTGGTTAATAACGACATTTTAAAATATTGTGTGTCCTTTTACTCAATTTATTAATCAATAGATAGGCTTGTCCTGTTTTGGTTAATTTTTTTAAAAAACTTTTTCTTAGCAATACCAATTACTGCAAACGTTACTTAGCGATGCAAGTTTGAACACATAACAATTACTGCAAACCTTACTTAGAAATGCAGGTTTGATCACAGAATAATTACTGCAAACCTTAATTAGCAATGCAAGTTTGACCACAAAACAATTACTGCAAACCTTACTTAGAAATGCAAGTTTGACCACAGAACAATTCCTGCAAACCTTACTTAGCAATGCAAGTTTGACCACAGAACAATTACTGTGAAGCTTACTTAGCAATGCAAGTTTGACCACAGAACAATTACTGCGAAGCTTACTTAGCAATGCAAGTTTGATCACAGAACAATTCCTGCAAACCTTACTTAGCAATGCAAGTTTGACCACAGAACAATTACTGCGAAGCTTACTTAGCAATGCAAGTATGATCAGAGAACAATTCCTGCAAACCGTACTTAGCAATGCAAGTTTGACCACAGAACAATTACTGCGAAGCTTACTTAGCAATGCAAGTTTGACCACAGAACAATTACTGCAAACCTTACTTAGCAATGCAAGTTTGACCACAGAACAATTACTGCAAACCGTACATAGCAATGCAAGTTTGACCACAGAACAATTACTGCAAACCGTACTTAGCAATGCAAGTTTGACCACAGAACAATTACTGCGGAGCTTATTTAGCAATGCAAGTCTGACCACAGAACAATTACTGCAAACCGTACATAGCAATGCAAGTTTGACCACAGAACAATTACTGCAAACCGTACTTAGCAATGCAAGTTTGACCACAGAACAATTACTGCGGAGCTTATTTAGCAATGCAAGTCTGACCACAGAACAATTACTGCAAACCTTACTTAGCAATGCAAGTTTGACCACAGAACAATTACTGCAAACCGTACATAGCAATGCAAGTTTGACCACAGAACAATTACTGCAAACCGTACTTAGCAATGCAAGTTTGACCACAGAACAATTACTGCGGAGCTTATTTAGCAATGCAAGTCTGACCACAGAACAATTACTGCAAACCTTACTTAGCAATGCAAGTTTGACCACAGAACAATTACTGCAAAGCTTACTTAGCAATGCAAGTTTGACCACAGAACAATTACTGCAAACCGTACTTAGCAATGCAAGTTTGACCACAGAACAATTACTGCAAACCTTACTTAGCAATGCAAGTTTGACCACAGAACAATTACTGCAAACCTTACTTAGCAATGCAAGTTTGACCACAGAACAATTACTGCGAAGCTTACTCAGCAGTGATAAAACGTTTTTCTCCGACAAGCACATGTATTTTTTGTTTAAAATTCAACAGATTATCTTTTATGGATAAAGTTGTACTTTGCTTAGTACTAAACATAATTTTTCTTTAGAATTATTCATGATATTGAGTACAGCTGCTACCATCTGCTCACCCTTTATTAATAACAAATAAAGCATGAAAGGTCCTCAAGAACCAGGCTTCACTTTCTTCTTCCTACTCCTTGTTGCCAGAGACCTGGCAGCGCTTCTTCTTACACAGCTGAGCAACTTTGGCTTGAGTGAGGAAGCAACTTTAGACCCTTGGATTAGCTTGAAGATGCTCCTCAGTAAGTTTGGCCCTAGAGTTCATAGTGGAAAAGAGCTTTTCACACAGATAGATACTCCCAAATACGCCCATGATCCTCTTGAACAACCTGGAAATCTCAGGGAAAAGGGATGGCAATGCTCTCATATATTTTTCATGCTTGTCTGTTTTTCTATTCATCTCCCTGAACTTACCATTGAGTTCAAAATTGCACTGAAGATCAATCAGTTCCATTTGAAGCACAAGGGATGGCATCTTTCCCATTGAAGGAGAAAGGGCTAGTAAAAGTTTGAAAAGTGACGGTGTGTTTTGAAGTCTACAAACATGAGATCAAATTCTTCCTGTAGCTTTGCAATTGCACCAGTATACTTACTACTGAATGGTGTGCCCAAGTCCATGAGTACTTTGCATGTTGGAAAATGGAAGAGGTTTCTCTAAGAACCATAACACAAGTTTTGTGCAAAATGCCCTGACATTGTCATAGGCAACACTAACAAGCTACCCATGGTTTTGTACTTCTTGTTGAGTACATTCAACTCCTGTGTAATGTCAACAAGAAAAGCCAAGTCCATGCGCCATTTGGGATCACTTAGTACAGGAACAACACCCCATCTTTGTCCATGAAGACTTTATAGGCTAAAACGTGTTCAAACAGTAAGCAGGATCAGGCAATCTATCTTCTGTATATATAATTAGCTGTGAAACTAGGGCAAGAAGCAAGAAGACGACGACGCAGGCTATATATAGATACGCCAGAGCAAGCAAGACGCAGGCAAACCCTCCCCTCCCTTCCCTTGCCTGCCTAATGTTGGTCTCGAGACATGCGCACTGCGGTGGAGCTTCCGCCCCCCTCCTGCACCACCCTCGGTTGCCAGCCATGCGCACACCCCAATAAGTTCGCGGCATATGCTAAGACGCGGGTCGGCTATATTTATATAGTTCATGAGCGTGAAATTAAAAGTGTGCAGTGACGTATCATGAAAAAAAAGTGGGGGGGGGTGGGGGAGGGGGGTAGCAAAATTGGCATTCTTAAATGTGAGTAACTTAAATTCACGTTTTTGTCAAGTAACTTTAGTAGATGGGAAGTTCACGCATTGCTGTCGCCTATTTTTGGCGGGCTATATCCACCCTCACTTGCCAGCCATGCGCACACCCCAACAAGCTCACGGCGTATGCTGCGCCGCGGGTCGCCTGGTATTTCTGAAATATCGATGCGAAGGAAGATGCTATTGCAAGAAGAATGAATTTTGAGGGTTTTTGAATCGTGCAAAAAGCTCTTTGTCTAACCCTATTTCGAAAGTGACCAAAGCTGACAGGCTTGGAATTTCCCTCACTCTTAAACACAAGCGGCCATTTTAGTAGGGATTCTTTGATATTGTATCCGATTGCTACGATTGAAATAATTATGGTTGTCCTATTTTAAAAAAAAGTTTTTACCATTATAATCAACGTCCAAACCTATTAAAACATAATAAACTCAGAATGAGACTAGTCGGTGAGATTCGAATGAAACCGTCGAGGATGGTCACATTATAGATATGAGAATGGGGCCGCATTAACACTAAGCTTTGCTGTCAGGTATCGGGCCGCAAAAGATCGTCTTGCGGGCCGCGAATTTGAGACCCCTGCCCTAGACTTTGTAAATGTTCAGGCCCCTTGCAATGGTGAACATCAAAGTAAGAAGTAGTTGCAAGCTTGCTTCCACGTCTGGATTTTCTCAATGTCTTTTATCTGGTCTGCACGTGACAGAGTGAGCTCTTCTTGGGATCTGCGTTTGTATTTAACATACAAATTGAATTGTAAAATCCCAGCCGTAAGGTCAAGGTCAATATTTTCTGGATACTTTTCCCTTCAGCAGATTAAACCTTGTTGAAATCCTAGCTTGGTGGCGGTCAGATTAGCAAGAAACAAAAACATTGTTTCAATGTCACTGTAGAAAGTCTTTAGCAGCTTTCTCCCTAAATTACTTTCAAGTATAGTATACAGGAATAAAATATGTTATGCAAAAGTTATCTTTTTGGAGATTGTGCATCTAACGAAACACGAGCGATTCCGTCTTATTGTAATTTTTTCCCGATTTCTTATTATTTGCTTTGTTAAGATAGTTTAGTACAGTTTAATACAGTCTAGTACAATTTAGTACTGTTAAGCACTATTTAGGACTGCAGCTAATGGCAACAGTGATAGCATTAGAGCTAAGGAGATCAGTAAGAGTACTGGAGTTAAGGGCATCAGTGAAAGCATTGGAGTTAACGACATCAGTAAGAGTATTGGAGTTAAGGGCATCAGTAAGAGTACTGGAGTTAAGGGAATCAGTGAAAGCATTGGTATTAAAGGCATCAGTGAACGCATTGGAGTGAAGGGCATCAGTAAGAGTACTGGAGTTAAGGGCATTAGTGAAAGTATTGGAGTTAAGAGCATCAGTGAGAGTACTGGAGTTAAGGGCAGTGGTAAAAACATTGGAGTTACGGCTATCAAAGAAAGTACTAGAGTTAAAGGCATCAGTGATAATAAAGTAGAAAAGTGAATCAATGACAGCCCTGTAGCTAAGGGCATCAGGGATAGTAGTGGAGCTAAGGGCATCAGGGATAGCAGTGGAGCTAAGGGCATCAGGGTAGCAGTTGAGCTAAGGGCATCAGTGATAGCAGTGGAGCTAAGGGCATCAGGGGTAGCAGTGGAGCTAATTGCATCAGGGATAGTAGTGGAGCTAAGGGAATCGGGGATAGCAGTTGAGCTAGGGCATCAGTGAGCGGTTTGGAGTTAAGGGCATCAGGGATAGAACTGGGGCTTTCCAAAATAACATATGTTGATTTTGTTGCATTGCATCTCTTTTGTGACACTTCGCATTTTCGAATTAAGTTACAAAATTATTTTTAAAAATTGTTTACTGCGTCAAGACAGCACTCAACAGTAGAACGACATCAAGACAGCAATCAACAGCAGAACGACATCAAGACAGCAATCAACAGTAGAACAACATCAAAGACAGCAATCAACAGTAGAACGACATCAAGACAGCACTCAACAGTAGAACGACATGAAGACAGCAATCAACAGCAGAACGACATCAAGACAGCAATAAACAGCAAAACGACATCAAGACAGCAATCATCAGTAGAACGACATCAAAGACAGCAATCAACAGCAAAACGACATTAAGACAACAACCAACAACAGAAAGTCGTCAAGACAGCAATCAACAGTTTACTGTATCAAAACAGCAATCAAAAGCCGATTAAATGTAATGAATTATCAGCACTTGGAAAAAAAAATCAAGATTTGGCTCCACTACATTGTCTTGGTGTCAACAATCCAAGCATATTATTACATTTGGCGTTTAAAAAATTAAGAGATATATATGAAAAAATGTAATATTTATTTATAATTTCATCTTTTAATGCAGACAGTGTTGTTAGCGGAGACGAAAAAAATTAGCTACCACCAGCTTTGTACTGACAGATGTAGGCATGCGACTCTCTCTGGGTGCCTATGAGGAAAGATGAAGTGTCGCACGGGTAGTCACGCCACCAGCCGTTGTCGTGGACGTCGATGATGACGCAGTCCTCGTTCGGGTGGGGCACGACGGCGGTGAGACTGGTGTTCTGAATGCCTTCTCCGGGGGCGAAGTTGTGGTAGGTCAGTTTGGTGCCGTCCTCCCAGACGAAGACGTCCTCGGTGGCGATGTCGTTGAGGCCGATCCAGGCTTTTCCCCAGGTGCTCTTGTAGGTGTGGAGCATCTGGTCGTAGATGTAGTCCTGGACGGCTTTGGATGAGACGATGGCCAGGGTGCCACCGTTTGCCTCGCACGCCTTCTTGGCGTCCGTGTGGGTTTTGTGAGGGGTCAGAACGAACTGGTAGCACAGACCCCCATGGACCTGGAGATGAGTGTCTCTGGGAATAGCGGCTGGGCAGTCGTTGACCGTTTGGGATGTAACTAGTTTGGGAAGATGAAAAAATACTGATAACGATTGATCTTATTGGTATATTTGATGTTGTTGAAAACTAAGATCTGGCATCCGGCTTCCATTTAAAGTCTTGGATCTTTTTAAACGCCAAGCGGCAATTGACCCCACCAAAAAGTGAGAACATCTCTTACAGTGTGATATAATTACATCAAAATTTGTTTAACTGTATCCAGAATAGCTTGAATGTTTTACTGATTTATGGCGACATTATTACGCGACGTTCTCGTTTTTTTTTTTGTTTTTTTTTGGGGGGGGGTGGTTTGGGGAGGGGGGGGACACCGTATTTTTACATATTTATATACATTTAACTGTATCCAGAATAGCTTGAATGTTTTACTGATTTATGGCGACATTATTACGCGACGTTCTCGTTTTTTTTTTTGTTTTTTTTTGGGGGGGGGAGGTTTGGGGAGGGGGGGGACACCGTATCTGTACATATTTATATACACATACAATTTAACCACGTATTATAGGCAAGCCTTGACTTTTTGTATTCCATACTTGGTTGTGCTACAACATATTCCAAACATTCACTTGGCAGTGCTGCAAAATATTCCATACATTCACTTGGCACTGCTACAATATATTCCAAACATGCACTTGGCAGTGCTACAACACTGACATATTCCACACATTCACTTGGCAGTGCTACAACACTGACATATTCCATACATTCTCTTGGCACTTCTACAACACTGACATATTCCATAGATTCACTTGGCAGTGCTACAACACTCACTGGCATCGAACATGACGATTGCCCTAGCCGAGTGAGGCTTTTATAACTAACGAGATTGAAAAAACTGGGGACCGCGCCATAGACTCAACGTGGCCCCATTGCTGCTTTGCGTTGCGAACTATTGACGCATGCAGTAACTGCACAGCTAAATAACGTGGCAATATAAAAACAAATCGTAACTCAACTCAAGAATCACATAAACTAGGTAATACCCAAGTAAACACATATATCTAGTGACAAGATATTTAGAAAGTCGCTCATTCATTCGAAAGGCGGGCTTCTATCGAAGTAAAATCAATAATTTTTTTTTAAACTTACCCAAACTTAGAACTACTGTCAAAGTAAGAGCAATAAACATTTTCGGACCGTTGCGGTGTGGACCCAGCTAAATATTTTCTGGTTGCCAGAAACACCGGGAAATGCCTTATTTAAATATTTCCCAAATTTGAGATTAAAAATGTGGATTATACATATTTCAATAGGTTTAAAAAAAATTATATAGGACAAATGTACATAGAACTCCTATCAACGGCCTTTAACGGAACAAATAATAAAACTGCAGTGATAGCGATAAGTTGGACCAAAGTATTCACCACGTAGGCTGTTCCCAAAAACATATGTTGTTAATTGTTTCATATTTCAATTGTTTTATAATAATCAACATTAAAATCTGTGCCTGGTCAAGGTGAAATGACGTCATACATAAGATAGAACAACTATGTCGCGTGAGGGAATGATAATGACGAAGTATTGCCTACATTCACGCACGAAAAAAACTTTTTACTTTCGGGGAGAAAAGAGTAAATTGAGTTGTCGAAAATCATTTCCGCTTTCGTATCATTTGTGGTTGTCGTGGTTTGGCTAAGTAAACATGGCCGGATGAGACTCGTTAACCTTGGTCGGCAACTCATGTAAGAGAAGGACACTCTGAATTCAAACCCGGAGTTGGGGTCCCGTAAGGCGCATGCAATGACAATTCCTGCAGCCGTACCCATCCCTGGTCGTCTTGACGTAGAGTCTTGCCACTGGATATGGTGGGCTCGGACGAGAGAGTGAGGTAGACGACGCGCAACACGTCCTCACTTTAAACCAAAAGTCACCCGCGCAAGTCATCAGTCACCAGAAGACTCGATGGTTTTGGTCGATCTTCGACGGACGAACGATAATTTTTTTTAAATTTAAAGTAAACATGGATCGGATGACGTCACAGTGAATTGAGAGGAAAGAAATTATTCAGAGTAAAAGTATACTTTTTTTTTTTAACAGCTATATAATGTGGTCTGTTTTTAAACCTACTAAACTTACTGGAATCGAGTAGGGTTAGGGTTAGGGTTAAGGTTAGGGTTAGGGTTAGGGTATAAATAAAAATGAGTAGATAATATACAAGATATATTGTAAGTTAATTTTTTTTTTTTTTGCTGAATTATTAGGTTCCCATAATGTTTATTTTTTCTAGAATTCAAAGATCCAAATATCAAAGCAGTCATGGATCCATCATGCTTTTATGGAGAAAATTAAGATGTGGCAGAAACAACCAACATGATTTTGGAACCAACCCAAAGTGGTAAAAGTAGGCGGCAACCACGGGCAAGCTACTCTGTTTTACAAATATTTTGAACGTAGCCCACAGCGCTAAGATGTTGTGCTAGAGGTTACCAGACCTTTCGGGGCGATGTTAGAATCGTCTAAAAACTATTCAGTCGTCTCAACCGGCTTGTAATATTAAGAAATTATTTTTTTAGGTTGTTTGTGGGTTGTTTTTTTTCATAGGCCTTGTGCCGTGTTTAGAGTCGGGTCAACGGCCACCAATAATTTTCTGATGATTTTGTGCACGATGCCGTATTGGACTTGCTGGTTTAATTCATAGCACAACTTCTACATCTAAACAGTTTAGTTTAAGTCCCTGACTCCATTCAATAAATAAAATAAAGTTTAAGAATTGCGTTACTTTTCCACAAACCTTATTTGTTTGGGTTTTTTTTTGGTTTGGTTTTTTTTTTTTTTTTTTTTTTTTTTTTTTTTTTTTTTTTTTTTTTTTTTTTTTTTTTTTTTTTTTTTTTTTTTTTAATTATTTTTTTAATGATTACAAACCACGATTTGGTTTTTTATATGACGTCACAAGACCTTATCTTTTATGTCTTTTAGTTGTTTTTGAGCAGATTGTTCTAGAATTTCACTTTTATCTTTCTTTATATTTAATGATTATAATTTGTTGAATCTATTCAATTTTACATTTAAGTTTATTACGTTTATAAAATGATTCATGGATGTCGCAACTCCCGTTTGTTCCTTTAAATACACTTGAGACCTGAAAGTATAAGGATGGATCTATTCACCGTAAAACACCGCGAGGCGATGGCACTGGCGGGAGGAGGGGGTGGAGCCATGGATTGGCTTAAGGAGAATAATTGCTTACGAAAATCGAATTTGGTTTCTTGAAAACGATGTTCGAACTTTTTTTATGTTACGATCAAACTGCAACTTTTATCAATATATTTTTAATAAATGATTTACGATAATTAACTTTGGATTTAAATAAGGTTCATAGAGTTCAGGGCATTGTTGGACTTGCTATATGATAAGTGCAGGAGCCCAAAAGATTTAACAAGTGTTCTAAAGACTTGATAAGTGTTCATCCCTGAGTGGTCCAAAAGCAGGGGTGGACTGGGGAGTTCAAGCGCCCCGGGAAAAAAAAAAAAAAAAGTGGCCCTATCTTCATTACTTTTATTTTTATTATATCACCGGTCCCAGCGGCCCATCGGGAATCTTCCCGGTGTCCCGGCGGCCCAGTCTACCCCTGTCCAATAGAGAAATTAACGCATGGGGACGTGGGAATAAAACTCTAATGTGAGTTATGCAAACAAATACGATGTTTCATATGAGTTCACTAGTGGCCGATGGGCAGTTGGAGATTTCATGTGAAATACCGGAAACAGAGCTGGATTATCCGTAAAACCACGTGAGCTTTCTATCCAGAGTACCCGACGGTTTCACACCGGGGGGTGTACATGAGCCTCCAATTAATAAGAACACGTTTAATCACCCCCCCCCCACACACACACTTTATTTTAAAAGTTTCTACCAAAGATAAGGCATAGATGGGTCAACTTTGGTTTGGAGAAGGAACTTCAGAGCCACAAAAGGGGAAAACACCTTTGAAAACCAAAACCACGTGAGCTTTCTATCCAGAGTACCCGACGGTTTCACACCGGGGGGTGTACAAGAGCCTCCAATTAATAAGAACACGTTTAACCCCCCCCCCCCCCCCACACACACACTTTATTTTAAAAGTTTCTACCAAAGATAAGGCATAGATGGGTCAACTTTGGTTTGGAGAAGGAACTTCAGAGCCACAAAAGGGGAAAACACCTTTGAAAACCCATACCAAGTCTACACTGCTAAAAAACATCCAGACTGCGAAGCAGGGTAACGGCTTCTGTATTAGAATGTGATACTACTGCGAAGCAGGGTAACGGCTTCTGTATTAGAATGTGATACTACAGCGAAGCAGGGTAACGGCTTATGTATTAGAATGTGATACTACTGCGAAGCAGGGTAACGGCTTATGTATTAGAATGTGATACTACTGCGACGCAGGGTAACGGCTTCTGTATTAGAATGTGATACAACTGCTAAGCAGGGTAACGGCTTCTGTATTAGAATGTGATACTACTGCGAGGCAGGGTAACGGCTTCTGTATTAGAATGTGATACTACAGCGAAGCAGGGTAACGGCTTCTGTATTAGAATGTGATACTACAGCGAAGCAGGGTAACGGCTTCTGTATTAGAATGTGATACTACAGCGAAGCAGGGTAACGGCTTCTGTATTAGAATGTGATGTCTGATCCCATGCCAGGCTGTAGCTTGACATCTAACATGAAAAAATACGTAGACTTAATTAAGTACACTTTTTTTTGTTTGAGATTGGTTAAATAATTTGCGCGATGGTCTAAAAATATGTACATCCGGAGATGTTCGTATTTTCATGGATGTCTCAAGATGTCACCGCATTTTAAGCAGCTGAAGTTCGATTTTCGTAAATAGGTTGCTATAATACATGCAAGCTGCGTGAGTTTTTGTAAAGGTAACGGCATGCGCTTTAGACACCAAAACAATGACATAACGTGGGAGTAGTTGACCTTTTCGGGAAATCAAAAGCCAACTGAAAATAAACTCATAAAGTGCGTGCTTTTTTAAATTTTTTCCGCTGTATATTAATGGGTCATGACGCAAGTTACAAGAAGTGCATACGAAAACAAAATGTTCCGTGTATATTATGGTCGTAACAAATCAAGGGGAGCGTGTCTTTTTCGAAATAAATTATAGTTTTTCGACTTTCTTGATTTTTAGGCGCTCAATTTGAATTGGCAGAGATACGAATGGAGCTCCGCCACGTCGATAATGGACGTGGTGTGAAGATCACACTGGTAATCTCGCCACTTGCCCCGGGCGCCTATGTCGATGACAACGCAGTCTTCGTTGGGGTGGGGCGTGTGGACGCCCTGGGTGTTGTTGGCCGTCCCTTCTGAGGTCGCAAAGTTGCTGTACGCCAGACTTGACCCGTCCTCCCAGACGAACGTGTCTTCTTTGTTGATGTCGTTGAGGCCGATCCAGAGCGTGCCCACGGGGCTCCTGTAGGTCTGCACCATCTGGTTGTAGATGTAGTCGTTGAGCTCCTGTGTTTTGACCAGAGCTAAGGTGCCCCCGAAGCTCGTGCAGTCCGCTTTGGCTTGGGAGTGAGTTCTCTGGCGGAAGATGACGAACCAGAAGCACGAGTCGCCGTGGACTTGAAGGTAGCGGTCCTTGGTCACACCTGCCGGACATTTATCTAGCTGGGAAGCACCTATGTTGATGACAATAGGTTATTAATATCTTTGATGATGAGGTCATTTAGAAGAAAAAAAAAACTTTAATGGAGATTCGTGGAGCATTTGAAATATTTCCTATAAAGTTAATAAAAACTCGGCCTGTCTTACATTGGCAGCTTTAAAGTATTAGTAAGTATACGATTTGATGACGATAAATTTAAATAAATAAATAAATAAATTTAAAAAAAAAATAAAAATAAAATATATATATATATATATTTTTAAATTAAAAAAAATATATATTAAAA